TATTATTTTATCTTTACCATTCAAGAGAATGGTTTCTAATGTCCAGCGAAACAATAACGCCCATCCCATTGTTCCCAGTCAGATATACAGTCAGTTGTCAGGTACAAAAATTCCTTGAAGGAAAAACATTCTTATGTTACTGGTTTCCTTTAGACGCATCCGCTTTTGTTTTCGCCCCTTTGCTGTCATTCTATCTGTAAACATGCATTCTAGAGGACGGTTCTCTTGATGTTAAACAGGTGAAGTTTATGTACTCGATGATGGCGGAGAGGTGGACCTGGACTTGGGTAATTACGAACGTTTCCTGGACATCACTCTTCACAGAGACAATAACATAACGACTGGGAAAATTTACCAATATGTTATTACGAAGGAGAGACGAGGAGATTACTTAGGAAAAACAGTACAAGGTTACAAGTCCATTTATATTATATTGCAGATGTCTATCATATGAGTTTGCAGATGTCTATCGTATGATTGTCTACCGTTGAGTTATATAAGTTAATAAAGAAAGAATATTTTGTTTTTTAGTGGTGCCCCATATTACCGATGCTATTCAGGAATGGGTGGAGAGAGTCGCGAATCAGTCTGTAACAGAAGATGGAACTAAACCAGAGGTGTTAATTTATGAATTTTTATTATTATATAAGTATATTTTATTATTATGTAAGTTAGATAATTCCCCAAAATGTACAAATATAAATTTAAATAATAGATATTCTTTGGATAATATATTTTATGTATAAATTTATAATGTAATTATTTTAATTGTGTATTAATAATCCTTTATAGGTTTGCATACTGGAATTGGGAGGCACAATAGGGGATATAGAAGGAATGCCATTTGTAGAAGCATTTAGGCAATTTCAATTTAGAGTGAAAAAAGAAAATTTCTGTGTGGCGCATGTATCCTTAGTACCACAGGTAACTATTATGATATCTTGACATACTCATGTTTCTTCTAGAAATGCACTCAATAATAAGTGCACGAATAATTTTTGCAAAACTATGAATGATTTTTATGAGAACAATTTCTTTTGAACAATTACAGTAACATGAATATCCAGAACAAATCATAATGATGTTAAAATGACATTAAAATGAATCATAGCTATAATTGAAAAATGACTTAATAAACATTTTGGAACCATTTTCACATCATTTTGATATCATAATGACTTGTGTTCTGTTTGGGTTTATTAGCCAAAATCGACGGGTGAACCTAAAACCAAGCCAACGCAATCCAGCGTTAGGGAACTAAGAGGATTAGGTTTGTCACCCGATCTGATAGTTTGTAGATCGGAACAGCCTATTGGTAATTCCGTTAAGGAGAAAATTTCGAATTTCTGTCATGTGGCCCCGGAGCAGGTAAATTATAAAAAATATTTACTTTAATATTACAACGTATTGTTATGAAAACATTAATGATAATATCAACGTATATTTATATCTTATTCGATCAGGTCATAACTATTCACGATTTAACATCCATATATCGAGTACCGCTTCTTATGGAATATCAAGGTGTTATAGAGTTCCTTAATGATCGATTGCAATTGAATATCGGAGTTCCACGTCCGCGATACTTCATGCGAAAATGGCGGGATTTAGCTGAACGCGTTGATCATCTACGAAAAGACGTTAACATTGCTCTAGTGGGTAAATACACGAAACTCGAGGACTCCTATGCTTCCGTTACAAAAGCGTTGCAACATGCTGCCATTGGGGCTGGATATAAACTAAACTTGACAGTAAAGTTGCAATTATTATGATTATATACATATTTCATGCATGTATGATCGTATATATTTATAAGTATTGGATTATCATTACAGTTCATAGAAGCTGCTAATCTAGAACAAACTACACTATCTGAGAATCCAGTCCTATATCATGAAGCTTGGCAACAGCTTTGTAAAAGCAAGTAAGTATATTTCAGTATACTTTTATGGGGTCGCCGAGTGGCTCGCCGCTCAGTGCGATTGACTCGCGATTTGTGGATATGGGTTCCATCCCACCTGTGTCCCGCATACACTATTTTATAGCATACGCTATTGTTCGGCGTTAAACTATAGGTCCCCTCGAGTGTGTTGACAAACTTTGAAGAGTAGAATTCCACTACTATCATCAAATTCAGAAACATAAGCGAGCCACTAATATGCATATTGCATGATACTGTGACCCAATAATAGGGTCGAAAATCCACACAGGGGATTTGACAAATAGCGAATTCGGCAGACTGCACTAGTGCGCACTGAGTGTGAACTTTTTTTCAGTACCACGCATTCGGCTTGTGCGCACTGTCGGTGCGTTAAGATTATCATATTCGGCAAATGAAAACTGACCCAGTGTAGTGCTGAATTTATATTCGGACCAATCGAATGAACTGAATGAGTTCAAGAAATGTTGCACTGACGTTTCTGACAAGTGCAATTTGGCATAGCACCAAAGTGGTTCTGCACTCATACTATGTCAGGGCAGCACTAGAGCAAAATCAGTGCACGTATGCTGAATTCGCCAAAAGACAAAGGACCAGTTTCACCAAGCCGATTAAGCTTAATCGATGATTAACTGCCAACCGCAATTAGTCAATTCTACTAAACAGCAAACGCGATTGGTCAGTCAATGGCCGATTAAGTTAACTGGCGTTGATGAAACTGGCCCAAATACAAATATTTTTATGATCTACTTTTCGATGTTTTATTCACACAATTCTTGATCATACAAGATTATTTTTAATTAAAATGTATTTTCATTGTATCCAGCGGCGTTATTGTACCGGGTGGATTCGGAAAGAGAGGAATGAATGGAAAAATAAAGGCTTGCGAGTGGTGCAGATTAAACGACAAGCCGTTCCTCGGGATTTGTTTGGGCTTACAAGCGGCGGTCATTGAATTTGCGCGAAATGTCTTACATCTTGAAACAGCAAATTCCACAGAAATCGATCCAGAGACTAACAGTCCCGTAGTAATAGATATGCCGGAACATACTCAAGGTATTATGGGCGGAACGATGAGACTGGGCAAAAGACAAACCCGATTTTACGGTGATTCTATCCTAAGTAAGTAATAGAATTCATTGAGACTGAGTTAAATTTCCTTTTCCATCCCGATATATTTTTTCATTTATCATTCTTCAGAGAAATTGTACGATAGTAAAGAAATTATTGAAGAAAGGCACAGACATAGGTATGAGATAAATCCGGAATTTGTCAATGATTTAGAAGTGGCTGGTTTAAAATTCGTAGGTGAGTTAGATTGTATCTCTCGATAAAATTACAGTTTTTTCATTAAATATTAATCAAACAATATTGGTTGTACATAATAGATAATAGGAAGAATATAATTCAACATTCTTGTAGGTCGCGACGATGACGAAAATATACGAATGGAAATTGCCGAATTAGAAGGACATAGTTATTATGTAGCTGTTCAATTCCATCCTGAATATCTATCAAGGCCATTAAAACCATCCCCACCATTCCTCGGTCTAATTTTAGCCAGTGTTGGCAAATTGAAACAATACTTAGCACGGGGATGTAAATTTTCGCCACGTCAATTGAGCGATAATGAATCAGGTAATGAATCAGACAACGAAGAAAAGATAAAAATTGTATTAAATAATATATATAAATAAATATGTGATATCACATATTTAATATAATTGTATTGCAATATAAAGTTAGGCAATTTTAATTTGTATGAAATTTTTATAACATATGACTTGTTACAGATGATGATTATGTAGAAGAAATGACAAAATTACACTTGAATAATGGTACGAGTAGAAGCGGTAGTAGCAGTACATCGGGTCTTGATTAGAATATAGCTTCATTTTTTGTTTCATTTTATTTCATTCCATAATTTTAGTTAAAATTAGTTAAAATTAGTTTGATTCATAGCTGTGCTTTTGTCTGACGCTTCCTACTTATATAATTCACGATTAAAAGATTGAACATAAAGGATATGAGGAGCAGACTTTTAAAATGCGTTTTGTCCAAAATTCATTTTTTTTAAGTTAGAGATGGCGTAGTATTCAGTGTTAAATGACTTATAAGCTATTCTGACATGTTCAAAAAGCATTTTTTTGTTAATTTATATGCTGAAGAAACATAGACATTTCGAAGTGTATTATGTTTTTTAATTAGAAACAAACAAAATGCATTTGTTTAACATTTTTAGCAATTTTTAAATAATTTTATTTAACATTTCATATTCTACTAATTGACATATTGTTATTTTCTGTAAAGTGCGTAGTTTTCTTGTGTGCGTAGTTTCTTTCTCGTTTTCTGAAAATTACACATTATAGACAAAACGTATTTTGAAAGTCTGCTCCTCATGTGTATATTAATCGACTATTCGAGTAACAATACTTAAAAAAAATGAAATTATATGAAATGTTTATAATGTATGTAAAATGTGAAATTCATTGAATATTAATAAGTTTTATATTTTATAATAAATTACGTTTTAATAAAAAAAATTTGTGTATGTATACATATTGAACATTGTGAGAACAAAAAATATTAAAATTATAACTAGTAAACCGTTACAACAAAACAAAAATGAATTGTCGTTTTCATAAATAATTAGAATATTTCGAATATTTATTGAAAAAAAATACGATGTGAAGAATATTATTTTTAATCTCTCTTTCTAATGCCTTTTATATTTAAGAAATATGTGAGTCTTCTCCCTCTCCGGTTTCAAGGGGAAAAAAAGAAAAGTACTGAAGTATCTTTGTAAATTTTTAAATCTATACTTTTCCGCGGAAAAATTTAAACTGTGGCTGTGTTCCAAAATTCACTACCAATGCTGAAAATGTAGACATAAACTAGATTTTCAGCGCTGGCAGTGAAGTTTGGAACACAACCTGTATATTGGCACTTATCATGAGGTCTGTTCTTGTTTTTTATTCTCTCACCAGTTCAGAAAGTGCAGGAGTAAAGAACAGACTTATGGAACAAGTCGGATTGAATTCCGAGCGGAATTATTTCGTTTTCACTAGAAAACACAGGGTGTATTCCGAACCGAATTAGTTTAGCTTATTTTTTTTCCTAGTTGTTTCCGTAACTAAACCGAAAAGTGTTCCAAACCCGTTACGTTTAACCTACAAATTGTTTAACTATTGCCTATAGGCAGTAAATGTCGTTAGTAACAACAGAAAAAATGTATCATTTAGAAATTCGAGACCACAATGAAAAAATGTATAATTTTCTGGTGACAAAAACCGTTTATGATTTAGCTCATAATGGTAAGCTCATATTAATATTAACGTAATATTGCAATCGCCAAATTTTTGTCATAATTAAAATTTTCAGATCTATCATATGCAGAAAAATTTTTGATAATGCAAAAGCAAAAATATTATTTCGAAACAAATCTGCAATAAATGACGAAACACACGATAATAAAGTATTAAAGTTAACAAATGGGTCAAATACTATTGAACTTCATGTACCAAATAATATTTTTAAACGTGCTACAATGGTAAAACTCATAATGTGTGATAAATCCTTTTCGCGTGTTTTCTTACTTTCTATTACAAGTTTTTATTTCTATAGATCCACAGTTTGGTGTACAACTGTTTAATAAATACAATAAAGAAATACTCAAGCAAAAGTCTCATTGTATAGGCACAAATGTTTCTGAAGATAGAGCTAATGAAAATAGACAGTTTGATAATTATGATGGAAGTGAAAATAATGAAAATATGGCTACGTGTAACACTACAGGTAATAAAATGTATTGTACTATGTTTTATAATTAAATAAAAATTTTTGTTAGGTGCTTTGAGGCATCATTGGTCTACAGAGCAAACAAAATTGCTATTATTTCTATTTCGTCAACTAAGTAAAGAAAAAATGACACAACCGCTTTTGAAAATATCAGCAGG